TACATGTGTTATTGGAATCCCTGGTGCAGCCTTTGTTTGCCGTTTGCCTTTATTAGTTGACATTAAAATTGAAAATTACACTCTCCTGCGTTGCGATGTCGATGTGAATTCACTCCTATGGACCATATAACCATGTGGGAGGGAAAAACATCCTCAAATTCAGGGAGAACTGTTTACAGAGATTGAAACTCCACTTTTCTGATTGCTTTGTTTCATCATCAAATAGTTGTGAGACTGTAGAACAGTTTCCAATCTCAGGACAGAATGGAGTCTCCTTCCAAGCTAATTCTGTGCGGGTGTTCAGGGCAATGGGGCCAGACGACGGCCCAGGTGCCGCTGTGGCCTGGAGGAAGGTCCTGTGGGAGCGCCAGCCGTACCCGGACAACTACGTGGACCAGCGCTTCCTGGAGGAGTTGCGCAGGAATGAGGGCCTCCGCCAGTACCGCTACTGGGCCGTGGTGCGAGAGGCGGGCCTGGTGGGGCAGCAGCTCTCCTGCGTGGCCATTTTCATCACCCTCTGGCTCTACATGGAGCAGGTAATTCATCTGCCAGATTGTTGTGATGACATTTTACCTAGCGTCAAACGTTCTGCCCGTTATTCAATATCTTTTTTTAATATTGTTCTAAGAGTTAAGGGAAGAAGTTATTTCCTCCATCCTTATTGTCTTCTGCTATCTTTTTAGGGCCTCCTATCCCCAGGGACTCTCCTGCTTATCAGCCTAGCGAGTTCCCTGCTGGGCTACGGACTGTACCAAGCCCTCGCATCTCAGGCGGAACCCGTTCTGCAACCTCGGACCTGTTGGGCCGACTTACAGAGTGTCACCATTTTCCTGTCCTTCATCTTTGGCTTCTCGCCCGTGCTAAAAACACTCACAGAGTCAGTGAGCACGGACACGGTGTACGCCATGTCAGCCGTCATGCTGCTGGCTCACCTCGTGTCCTTCCCTTACACTCATACGTCTCCCCCGGGCAGCCTGTCACTCAACGCGGCCCTTTTTGCATCCGTGTGTCTGGCCTCCCGCCTCCCAGGAGCCCTGCATACCTTCACCATGCTCAGCTGCGCCCTTATGGTCTTCGCCCTGTGGCCCTGCCTGCTGAGGCGGGTGAAGAATGGGGCCCCGCATCATTTCGCCGCCGTGTGCGTGGGAGTGTGCGCAGCGGGTGTGGGCGGGCTGGCATCACGCTGGCCCGGCGGGGCAGTCATCCTTGCACTGGCCCTGGCCACCGTGATTCTGCTCTGCCCCTGGCTGCTGGTCCAGCTCCAGAGGCACAAGGACAACATCCACGGGCCGTGGGACGAGGCGGAGATCAGCGAGGACCTCAGCCACTTCCTCCAATGAATAAGGCCTGGTTGAAGCAGACATGGGCTAGACACTTCATTAGGTACATAAACTCATGAGATCCAATGGAGTCTTTTTTTTT